ATATATATATATATTCCTGTTCCAAGACCTGACTGTAATTTTCTTACGTTATTAAATAACAGTAACAATAGCAATAATTTTTCTTTTTTTCAAACAGTCTGAAAATGCTCTCAAGGAAGACAAGGTTTTCCCATCCTGTTATTACCTGGCTACAACCATGCAAATTCTAAATAGAAAAATAAATTTTTAAATTATTTTTTAAAGTCAGCTTTACAGAAATTTTAGAAAAACAGTTTTATATGCCAATTAGTAATTCTGCAGCAGTGAAAATATACTAAAGACCTGCACCTGGCCAGGAAAGATTTTCTTTTCATATGAACTGTAGGAATAAGCAAAAGAATGATCCCTCCTAGGTTCTGGTAAAGGATATGCAAGCCAACCAGAGCTGACATTCATTGGACACATCCTTCAATGTCACAGCCTTTCTCTCTAGACAGGGAATAATTAATTCAGCACCTGAAGCACCCATCAAAACTAGCCTAGAGCTGCTGCAGTGCTGGGGACTGTCAGGGAAAGCACAAGGATTTAATGTTTCCCTAACCCCATATCTACACCAGAGACCATGACCATTTTTTGAGTCTTTCAGAGGTGAAGCATGAACACACTGGAATGCTATATTAAAATGCTGTTTCCTATAAGTTAATTGCCATCACTACCACATATGGTTACAACAGATCTCAACATCTATATGAAGCAGCTATAACCCAGGTTTTGCCAATAGGCAGCCTGAGGCAGACACACCTGGAACACTCAGAAGTTATTAATAATTTTGGATATGCCACTGCAATAAATCAGAAAAAAACTCTGCCTATCTGAAAATGAATACACATTAAGATGCCTGACCTTCAAAATTCAAGTGTGGTAATTTGGCCAACAGAGTTTAAGTGATTTAACAAAAGTTGCACAGCAACTCTGTGGGAGACCTAGGAAATAAACCCATTATTTCTTAGACGTGGCCCTAAATTCTAAATCGTGCTTATAAACCTGTAAGGAGAGAAAATACCTACAATATTAACTCTCACAAATACATCAAGGCCAAACTTAACAGTTCCCTCTATTATGTCTACCACAGCAGTCATTTCTACTGTGTATTTCCAGTGGGTCACTAGTATTTGTGGCCAGCAAGGAACATTATTAGCACTGTTGGGCACTCATCAGTGTATCTCAAGGAAAAACGCTCTACAAGCCAAAAGCCCAAGAGACCAAGACTCTTCTGCTCAAAATGTAAATGCCTGCTCAAGTGCTGCCACTTAAATTAAAACTACACCACATTAACACCACAGCAGTAGAAAATCACTGTCATCATCTTGATAAAAGAAACAACACACCAGCACAGAATGCTTCACTCCCAGGTCACTGGATCTGCTCTGAAGCTCCAAGCAGCAAGATTACATTGTCCAAGCAAATAAATAATACTGTCTTCTATTTTCACTGTGGCTAAAGACCTTTAGATGCATGCCTCTCCTTCTCACTTCCTAATAAAAGGGAGAAAGAAAAGAAAAAAAAAAAGTACCCTCTTTCAGGTCATTCTGTGACCAGTAAACAGATTGAGGTAGGGTTTAATAAAAATCACAGCACAAGAACACTTGAAGAAAAGAATCTCTGCAGCATTTAGGGCTCGCACTTCAGTAAAACAATGCAACGTTTTCCACAAGGAAACTTGCCACATAGATCTTAGAAGACTATTTATTGCTGAACACAAGAGTAACTTAGCTGCCCTTACTTAAGGAAGGCCGCTTCGGCACCACACTCCAACTAACCCATTCTATTCCTCCAGCTACAGATTTTTGTGTCAGTCTTTGCCTCTCTCCTTTCAATAAATATGAAGTTTTGTATTCTCCAGCTGCAGACAGAGAAAGATAACCTCCTTTACCTTCCAAATCTTGTAAAGTTTCTGAGCAAGAGGAAAGAAAGAGAAAGCCTACACTCTGTACATCACATTTGGAGTGTTATCCCCTTGTGTCTGCATCTGCCACAGCTATTAGCCTTCTCCAAATAGCAGCTGAAGCAATATGGAACAGACTTGGTCCCTAGATAATTTCCCAACTACTCATATGGTTCTGTATAGCAGCCATGAAAAAAATAATTCTTGGTAATTTAATTCTGTAGCTCAAAAAACCTATGACCCAAAGCAAAAATGTTGGATGTGTCTCCAGATCCAAGACGATATTGCAATCTCAAAAGACAAAGCTTTCTGAGATTTCCATTTTTTTCTTCCAGAGGACATCACTCCTTGCAAAAGAGATGGAAATCACCCCCCCCCTCACATTTTAAAGGAAGTTATACATTTTGCAGGAATACTTAAATCTTCCTCACTTGCAGTTGCAAATCTAGGTTTAACACCTCTAGTCAAATTGCCAGCTCAAATAAAATACTCACTGATAATACGGAGGAGGAAATTTCCATGTGCATAGTCCTAACAGTATAGAAGACGTGCCAAAATGGAAATTACATTACAGCAATGATTAATGACAGCAGATTACTCTGTATAAGACAGCAAGCAAGAAACCATTCAGCGAATTCCACAGGAAAAAAATATATCCCATTTTTTGCACACAGCCAATTGTCCTCCCACAAACAAACAGAAGCATACACATAATCTAAAGAAAAACCCAGCTTTTATAGTGCCAATTTTTTGTTTTTTTCTGGTATTTCTGAAAGCAGGGTTGGGAGCTAGAGAAAGAGACAGAAGACCTGGAAGCTTTCATTTTAGCAACTGAAAACCATACACAGGAATCTGAATTGGGAGTCAAGCCAGACATGAAAAGTACACATTCCATTTTGCAACAGAAGACAGTGATAGACATCTCCCAGGAAACTATGCATTAAGCTTTATGTTTTCCAATTCCCTCTCCTCTTCCCCCCCCCAAGTTCTCTGTCAGTAAATAGTTTATATTCTAGATACGACATTGTGCTGGTTTTGGCTGGGATAGAGTTAATTTTCTTCATAGTAGCTAGTATGGGGCTATGCTGGCCAAGTTAAACCAAGACAAACATGAATATGTGAATGCGGATTAACATCTCTGTGCAGAAACCTTCACATATATATAAGCTGTCAGTTTGTTACTTTTATAAGCTTTAGTAATCTCCTCATACAGCTTTCCTTAATTAAATGTATCTAGGAAGGATTTCTTTAAGAATAAAGGGATGTCTGCGCAAATTAATGTGGAAATACTAGACTTCGTACTCGTACCCATATGCCAGTCTAAAAGAACAATGAGAATTTGACATATTTTTTTTAATTCCTGCTATGCCTTTACAATTAAATATACCCTAGCTTTATTTCTATAAACAAGAAAGCTTTACATTTTGTTCTTCTAAAGCTCTGAATTTAATCTGCATTTAAGTTTCCATATACTATACCTTTTTTGTTGGTCCTAATAATTGTCTCAGACAACAGTAAAGGGCTTCCATTGGAAACTTCATTTATAGGCTTCTCTGGTGGTTTGTTGGCAGTATTTTCTTTCTTCATGTCCTTCTTTATTTCCTTCACAGGAAAAGACATGTGGAAAGGGAGAACAAAGAGAAAAAAAATAATTTAAAAATGTATTACAGAATATTCTAAATCTCAAGCTCTCTAGTCTTTTTAAAAGTTCTATGCATACAGCTCCTGCCTATTCTAATGCTACCTCTAAGACTTGAAATGCCACAAAATAAAAGTAATTTTGAGTAACTCTTCCAACCAATGCTTTTTTTTTCTTTTTAAAAGAAATCAATCCCTTATTTATGTGTGAAAATTATAGGACAGGTTTTCAGATCTCTGTCTAAGGATCAACAAAGCTGAAAGGGGATGGGGGGGGCGGTGTGGGGCAAGAAATAAAAAAGCATTTCTTAGTTCATCCATCAATTAGCTGTACACAGGGCAGAACTGGGTTCAGTGCAGCTGTAAAGGCACTAAGTCTGTAAGACTAAGATGTAAAGGCAGCTAAGTCTGCTTCCCCTCTATTGAGAAGAACACGGAAACAACCACCATAGCAGGAAGAAAAATATTACCTAGGAAAATATGACAAATGTTACCATAATTGGCAGAAGCAGACTCTGCTGTCAGAGCTGTTGCTAACACTAACACATTTTGCAGCTGACTACCTTTTACAGTGATTAACTTCTTTGGCAGTACACACAGTAAAAAACATGGTGAAGTTTTATGAGAGTAAACCCATTGAAAACAGCTTCCCCGGACTGCACAGAGTACTCATAAAGATGCACAATAAAACTCTACTGGCTTTGTAAGCAGACGTGAAAGGTCTGCATGCTTAGGTGTCTATACCTACTTTGCCAAAGCATTCAAAGTATCACAGCCTTTCAAATATCTTACCATGAAACACTACTGAGGTAGACAAGTAGTGTTACTTCTACTTCATAAACAGGGAACTGATGCACTAAAGAGGCCAAACAATTTGCTTATAATCATGTGCCAAAAAAATAAGTAAAAGAAAAAAAAAAAGTTCTAGCTTTGTCCTAGGTCAGAATTACAGAGCCACTTGGGCTGGGAGGAACCTCTCTACTCCAATCTCTAGCTCAAAGGAGGGCCACTTCTGGGGTCAGACTAGGCTGTTCAAGGCTTTGCCCAGTTTGGTCTTAAAAACTTTCAAGGACAGAGAATGCACATCTTGAGCAACCTGCTCCACTGTTTGACTGACCTTACAGTAGCAAAAATTTTGCTTATATCCAGGCCGAAACCTTCTTTTCAAGTCCTGTCTGCTCTCTCCTATCTGCCCCACCAGGGACCACTGTGAGGGGCCTGACTGTCTTCTGGATAACCTCCTTGTGTGTATTGGAAGGTGCAACCAAAGCTGCTTCTTCTCCAGGCTAACAGACCCACCTCCCTCAGTATCTCCTCACCAGGCATGTGGTCCACCTCCCACAGACACAGAACTTGCTCCTGTTTATCGATGTCTTTCTTTTACCAGTAGACTCAAAATGGGATTCTATATTCTGGATGTGGCCTAATGAATGCCAGATTCCACTTCTCTCACTGTGCAGGCTGTTAATGCAGCCTAAGACATTGCTGTATTTGATGCTAAGGTACATTACTGGCTTATGTTCAGCTTGCCATTCACCAGGACTCACAAGTCCTTTTCAGCAGAGTTGCTCCCAAACCCACCAAGACCCAGTCTGTATGTCTGCCAGCAATTCCTCCTTCCTCAGGACAAGAAGTGGCATTTGACCTTACTGGGCTTCATAAGATTCTTGTCTGAGTCCTTCTGAATAGCAGCCCTGCTTTTGAGCATGTCAATTGCACACACACACCCTCTCCCTGTCCTGATTTGGTACAATCTGCAAATTTGATGAGATCTACATTGAGCAGGCATCAGGGACAGGTGATGGCTTCAGACAAACTCTTCCCCTAGTAAAAAAAACTGTCTCTCCTCATCCCTCTCAACTCTGAACATTCACTGCCCTCTTCTATATCCCAGTGCAGCAGCAACTTCCACCATCCTGCAGCACTGTACCACACGCAGGAAATACTGTAGATCTTATTTAAGTTTTCACCATATCAAACATGAACACTGAACCACAGAATACAGATTTCTATTTGCAGTTTCTGAAGTTCTTAACTGAAAACACCATCAACCAAAACAAGATTTTCCAAGTTACTCACTACAAGATGCACTTTAAACCTGAATTTCATATTTATTTTTTTTAAGCTTTTATGTCCCCAGTCCAATTCATATTTCAAAGCTGAACTATCAGCTACATGACATTAATACAGTCTTCTCTATCTGCATAAGGCATTTACTGTCTATCAATATTGCATTAGCAGAGAGAAAAGCTTTTTGGACTGCTGCCCACCAAAGGTACAATGAATCTTTTATCTAGTGCCACCACACAGGTAAAATAGTATCTAAAACCCAACTCATCACAGTAACTGTCCTAACTGAAATAACAAATGTGAATGAATATATGTATGAAAGGTGAATGTGTCTGTGTGATAGATGTTACTGTTGTTAGAAAAAGAAATACTGCAGACAGTTCTTGTATAAAAGTGAACCACATGATAATTTAAGAACACTACATACATTTAGAAGAAAATGTTCTACTGTTTTCTTTAAAAAATGGACTAGACTAGTCCATATATTCCATGAGCTTTTTTTTTATAAAATGCTTTTTTATAAATTAAAATATATCATAAATGAGACCACCCAAAGCTTGCTGTATTGAAGCTTTAAATTTCTTTTGCAGCTAGGTGACAAACAGTATTATTTAAAATTATCTACAGTTTAAACAGAATCTGAGAGTCAAACAGCACTCTCCTGTGAACAGGACCACAAGTCAACAGCCTGCAGAAGACCCCATCTAGGCAGAACTTGCTTCCTGTGGGTCATTAGTGTGTTGTTTTCCATTCTTTATGTCAGAATGTAATTAAACCCTCAAATCACAAATTTTGAAACAACAGCACAATGCTTTTTTGTTTTAAAATCCTATTTGCAAATTCAAAACTGACAGAAAAAAATTGCTGTAAGAGAAAACAGTGCTGCACTCTCAAGTCTGCATGACACTGGTGGGTTTTCTACTACTAACAGCTTTTTTAGGAAACCTTGTTTTGCTCTTCAAAAAATCAATAGGAATACAAGAAGCCAATTCCCAAACACTAACATTTGTAAGTAGGGTGGGAAGTCTGATATTTCCTTTCTCATCCACTATTCATGGTGTCCATGTGCAGCCCATACCTGGGGCTAAACTATAGCAGTTGTTCAATCACTCAGTTATCCTTCCCCAGTCAAGAAGGGGAATCAGGAAAAAGAGAGGAGACTCATAGGTTGAAATGAAAATGAGTTTAATGAAATTGCAAAACTAATGCCAACATAAAGTATACAGGGTTATATTCAGCCCAGTCCTCAGGAAAAGCAGAAGGAGCCCCAGAAAGAGGGGCTCCTCTTTATCAAGCTTCTAATCATCAAGCCTTCCTCTTTATAATGAGCATGATGTTTCTGCTATAGCATACACTTGTTTATTAGCTTGGGTCAATTAGGCTGAATTAAGCTCCCAGCTGACTCAAAAAACTGCTAATGGCCTGCCTGCCATGGCTGGCCTATGATTCTATCCCAGCAAAACTAGAATGGAAGAAAGACAGACACACATGCTGAGAAGTCCACCACGCTGAAATTCGTATAGAAGGTACAGCACCTTGTAGGCACCAAAATCACCTGAGGATTGCCTTTTTTTGTTGTGGTTTTTTTTTTTTGCTACCTTTCTAGTACTGGTTTGGACTACTTTTCAACACTGTTTCCTTTGGTGCTCCTGAGAGGGTTTGGACAATTCTGCAAATAGTGACACAGAAATCAAGCAAAAGCCAAGTAGGTCCTACTAAGCTAAAATGTTATCAGAAACATACTTGGCACACAAACAAAACTAATCCAAAGCCCTGTACCTTAGCAGACTCATCACTGTTATCCTGCAGCAGATATTAGTGCCAATATTGCATCCTCTGTCCTCAACCTTCTCTCCAGCTTTTTCTTTCTGCCTCTGTGTTGTCTTGTCTCCTATGCTGCCCACCCTTGGGGACATTAGGAGTTTAAGACTTTTCTTCAGCTAGCCCTATCCATTATATATACACACACACACACGTATGAAATTTCTTCTAAAGAAGAAATTGCTTGCTACACAAAGAAGTAAAAAGCAAGTTTTCACTTAGGACAGATGGAAGTTAGGAAGTCCCCAGTTTGTCCAGTTGGTCAAGAACAGCTGAATTTAAAAGCTAAGGATGAATAGAAATTAATAATGCAGATGTGAGCTCAGTGACTGCTCTTTCTACATGACAGAGCTTGTGTATGAAAAGAGGGGAGAAACAAGAAAGGTAAGAGGCTTTGCTATTTATACTGCTCTAAATTACTGGGAAAAAAGTCAACCTAGAAGTAGCTGTCTGCCCAACAAGGACTTCAGAGTACGTCCTGACTAGGATTCTTGGACCAGTTTCTGGTAGCATTTCAACTACAACCAATAAACTCACACCCCGATTAGATACAACCCCCACTCACTGCGGGCCAGTCTGCTGCCAGTTAGGAAGAGTGGGGTTGGACAGGTACTGTGGAACACATGTGGCATGCTGAGTCTTCTCCAAAGAACACAGTGTGAGCACCTTCATGAAGAACCCCTGTGGTGGCACTAGTTAGACCAGACTAAACTTAATAGCCCTTTCCAGAAAGATGTTTACAAGACACACGAGAAGAGCCCCATATAGAGCTCCAAGAGGAGGGGTTTGAAGGGATACTGAGTGCAGCATGTGGTTCTTTAACCCACCACAAGCATCTCACCCACTCCCCCAATACAGAATAAGCAGCTGACTCACATCACCTACCTGTAAAGAGGTAGGCTTTCACAGTGCTAACAGCTCCAAAAATCTCTCTAAACCTCACTATAGGTACATTTTGATACTTGATTTTGGGCAGCGACCTCCATAAATTTCATGTGTAGAAATGCTGCATTTTTTTCTAGCCTACACAAAGATAATTGCACATTACTAGCAGATAATTTTCAAGGGGCTAT